AGACGATAGTTGAGCACTAATGCCTACGTATTACATGCACGTGATGGGTTTGAAGTAGCAATGGATGAATTGCAAATGTACCTGCGATCGCAGCGACTGCAACGAGACTTGCGCGGGCGAGTTGGCGCCGAAGTTGTGCTACCAAGCTATCCTAGATTGGCACTTATGGTTATGTCCAGATGTGAGTTGAATACGTACACTGCTTGCTGGCGTATGATGGATGTGGTCTTCGTCATGGTGATTCACCTGGCCAGTGAGGCAGGTATTCGAACGGAGACTCTAGCACTTGGGTGAATTTGCGTTCTGTGGAAATTCTACAAATCGTTTAGTACTACTACTAGTAGGTGTGTTTCGTTGGTTGTTTCGTGAATACCCAAATAAAAGGTAGTACTAATAATACGAGTACTACACTGTACTCCAGAGTACTTAGTACTAGTAGTAGTACTAGTAGTAGTAGTAGTACTTAGTAAGTACCATTAGCTGTACTCAGCATTGGCATTTTAGAAACCATATGCTTTTATTTGCTCGGAAATTCACCAATGACTAACACATGTTCTTGTGCCTATTAAGTACGCTCGGAAAGTGTCTCTCTGGACTATTTTGCTCGAAATCGATCCATTCCAAGGCGTGCTCGAAAATGCTGCATCGTTTGCTCGAAAAAAATGCGCACCCCGCTTCGTTGGGCCAGACAAGCTAACCAATCGGCCCCGTCGCTCTGACAAGGAAAACGCAACGGCCAGCAATCCGTGGACTATTCTCACCAACGGCAGTTTCCATACGGCTCACGCTGGCACACCAGACTGCCATTACATCCTTCTTGAACGATACCTCCGCACGGAAAGTGGTGGACCTATTATCGAATCCGGACTCCAACATGGCTCCAGTACTACCAACCCCATACGGTCCACCCACAGGTTCCGGCACCGACAAATGCAACGTCCACGACCAACTCGGTACCTACACCGAAGGCCACTACACGGCCAGACACTCCCGCAATACCACGCATGCTCACAGGCGCGTTACATGTACCGGTCGCGTCCTCCCCGATAGCCTCCAACGCGAGACGATGGGCCGCAATATATCCAACGCTGGCTCCCCCTTCACCGTGCGGCGGCCCGGTGTCCAGGCTACCAATGCCAGCTGGTGCTGTCACCTATCAGCCCCGACAGGCCGGCATTCATTGCCCCACCAACCACTCGGATGTCACTTCAACAATATCGCCAGCGTCAACATCCCACAGGTGGCCATCCTGTGGCATCGGTAACGCATGGTGGCCTTGCGATTGACGAAGAGCCTATCCCAAAACGACAACGCACACACCAACCACCATCACC